TATCCCACTCTCACTTCCTTCACGCTCGTTGTGACGTTGTGCAAGCAAATACAAAAGAAACGCATTTATCTGACATGAATAGCACTGTTGATGATTGTAGGGTTGCTATACATTATGCGGTGCTTTTCCGTCGTCATGCAAACATAAGCTTTACTGTTGGTTAGTAAGTTTGTTTACCAATGACCTAACGACTTAAAGGCCTGACATATTTTGGGGACAGATTGTAATACAGATACTGAATCTAGCAGTCAAGCATGCAAGCATTCATCGTCCCTTCCCCTCCCCCTCCGTTACCGCTGTCAAACCCGTGATTACGTCGCCCCATGAATGGATGGATTAGCTTAGAGGCAGGCGAAGGCAAATGCCCTCAGTGATTGCGCGAACGGGCGCAAGTGTCCAATTCCTGAAGCTGCTTCTGTGCAGTGGCGTGCAAAAGGGACCTGGACGTCAGCCATGTACCTCTGCCTGGGACTTCTGGACCTTAAAAAATTAATCGTGGACTTGTGATTGGACACGTAGCTGTTTACTCGCGATGCGCCCTGTATTTGATATAAATTTGATGGAAAAAATAGCGTACATGGAAACTCTTTTCACCGGTCAGTTAATTTAAGAGCTAGCACGAGCATTCGCACAAAGCTGGAATAAGAAAGACTGACACTGTGATTCGACACGCAGTTGCCTGTCTACGACGCGCATAATTCTTCATGCAATTTTGGAACAGCTAGCGTAACCTGAGGTTCATTCTATATCATCGGATGTACAGTATGCATCGCATTGAGACCAGAAATCCTGCTCGAAAGCCCGGTGAGTCATATCAGTAGGACAGTAAATTGTTCATTTGATTTGCTTTCAAGCTTGGCAAGTCATCAATAAATCATTTGGAACGTGATCCTTGTAAAACTCTGCGGAATTTGCGCAGCGACTGAGTTGATTTTCTGATTGCCGGTATCTAACCTAACTAATCCAGTAGCACTTCGAGCATGCAGGTTTGATTGTTTCGCACCGCACTTTACAGAGAAAGAGTTTACTATCATGTCACGCTGTGGATAAGCATGTCATTTGCCTGGATTTTCGTTCCATTATTTTAGCAACTTACCTAATGAGCATGTGATAAGGCGTCAAACGCTGGATGAATGCAACGACATGAATTTTACGAGCTCTTCGCCGTATAGCTGGTCCAGTATAGCCTCCCGAGCCAACGGTTTGGTACTGCGCAACTTTTGGTGATGGATTCAACACATCATTCAGTCAGTGCCAATGAGCCGTTCCCGGTAACTCTTTTGGTGATGGATTCAGCACATCATTCAGTCAGTGCCAGTGAGCCGCTCCCGGTAACTCTTTTCGTGAATTCCACGATCGCTTAGGCTTATTGGTTTGTTTATAACATGGTATTGTGATCAAGTGGATGGAAGCAATGACCTATGCAGCCCAAAGCTAAACGATCTGAGCAAATGTGCCTTATTCAACCTTAACAGACCGACTTGGTCTTTGAAACTTGTCATGCAGAAAGCTCCTCGAAGCCTTCAACCACTATGTCACTTTTGTGTTCCTAACATTGTGCTTTACAACTAGCTGGGGCCAGATCCCCTCCCCCTGCCACCGCTTCTTTCCATTATGAAGCATTTCATGACCCTTCTGGTGCGTGGGTTGAGTGCAGAGTGCTGAAAAACCGTGTTTGGAATCATCTTCCTAAATAAGATGATCGTTCGTGATAGGTTGGGAAATGTCCCCACGTTCTCATCTTGCGAGCGCGCTGTATGCGATGAACGATAAGTCTTTTACAAATAAACATCATAATGAGCATGGCCATAAGAGCTACGCCAAGCACCATCATACTAGCCCAGTAATCGATTTTCAGCCAGTGTTGTTACAACATTGAAGCAATATGTCCAAGTGAGTAGCTGAGTCGATGCGAGCCGTGTCCTAGAAACGATGCAGAATGCGTCACCACGCCAAGCCTTGCAACAGCCGAACTTGTTTTCGCCTGGTCGCTATGAGTTCCAACCTTCGCCATCGCCCCGAACCGTTTGGCCAAATGTAACGCCGTCGTGCTCTGCTCTAAACAGAAGTCTGTGTTGGTGGCAACCTACGACTCTGTTTGACCGAATTACTGCTGGTTCGCCCTTTGCCTACTTGCACTGATCCGCGGGGAAGCGTAGGAGTTAAACGTTACGTCATCTAGTTTTGAAGGACGCGGATGTGTATCTCTCCCACTGACGGGGGATTTCAGAGCGGAGGAGAGAGCACCTACCCCTCGCCTCGCCCTGTTATTTTGGGACGGAATGGGGATAAAGGGGCAAATGGAACGTTGCGAGGCAGGTTATATAATTATCAAACGGTGTTTAATTTTAACGCTATTTTTCTTTTCTTTTCTTTATTGTTTATTTAGGGCAAGCAGTCCACAGGCAAAAACCCAATTGTGGAGGCAGTCCAGTCTTAAAATGGTGAAAGCACTATGCACACACAAACAAAAAACTAACCACATACACACACATACATACACATTACGCACAGTCACACTTGCACCTTACATACTCAGACACAAAGGTTATCAAAGAACGCACCACGAGTGTCGAGGCGGGCCTGGACAAATGTGATCGGGATGGTTTTGTTGGCTGAAAAAGTCAGTTTAGGGAGAATGCTCTAGAAAACCATTGCAGGGAACAGGTAGACGTGTGACGAATCCATTTTTAACAGTGCTGACCCTCGCAAATGACCCGTGGAAAATGTCAGTGTGCCGAGAGCATCGGACGGGTGTAGCTAGACTGAACAGTGATGTCAGGTAAGCACATTTAAGCCTGCGTTGCATATAAATAATGCGTCCGACTGAGTACAGCGTGCCTTGATAGATGCTGTTTCATAACAAGCGAGAAAATGCTCATCATCCAGTGGAGGACTCCGGGACTGGGTACTCGGACTCTACCACATGAGAAACCGGTGGTGTCGTTTGAACCGGGTGAGATGGGAAAAGACAGCACCGCTCCAAATAACACTACCGAACTCCATCAGTGATCTCACATAAGCGTTTAAGGTAGACAGCAAAGGATTATGATTGAGCCTCTCTTGACGAGGACACGACGACATTTGCGCGCTTGGCTTGAGAAGGTCTAGCATCCCGTTTGCTTTTGAGACACACGAATCCTTGTTATTGGCAAGGGTGGGTTTGGTGTCCAGGAGGACGCCAAGATCGCGAATCTGCTGGCAGCTATCCAAGTGGTGACCGTTTGGTGCATATGAGCAGTGAAAAGGTGACATGCGGAGGGTGAATGAGATGGTATTGCGCTTAGCTGGATTAGATTTCGGTCTCAGTTTTTGGACCATTCACAGGGGCGATCCAAATCAGCTTCAAGTGTGAGGCAATCTGCCGCGTCGTCGGTTCCGTGATAAAGTTCCACATCACCATCGTACATAAGGCACTAATTCTCAATTTGGTCAGGATCATCGCTTCAGCGATCAGCGAGGAAAAAGGCCAATAGAAGTGCTCTAAATTTCGAACATGCTTTACTTCGTGATTCTTAATTTGAGGTCAAAGGCAATCCATCGAATAATGTCATTCGCTTTTGTTTAAAGCAGCCCATCAATCCTCCTGACTTTCCAACCTGTCAGTAACTGGATAAGGTTATTAGGTGATATAATACTGTCAGCTGTGTGCAACCCATAATAATTTGCTACCGATCTTTGACCTAGACTAACCGGCTGTCAAACCAGTGTCATTTTAAGGCGAACTTAGTTCAATGGCCCATTATGACCATTCGTGGCAACACTCCATACAGATGAAGGAACTACACTTTGGCGTGTAAATACAAATACAAACAGACGAACCTTGCTGGTGAGGAGCATTTAAAAAACATACTGAGGTAAATATATCCAAAATGCAGCAACATTTTGACTTTGCATGGCCTTCCTTAGGTCTACGTGTGTCGTTGAGCTCACACGACCTGGTCCCAAAAGTGGTTTAACGGTGCTTAATCAATTGATGTGAATGTGGGAGATAAGATAGGCTGCCGTGGACCGTTCTTGTGCTTTTCCAAAAAGATGACAAAGGGTGGACTTAAGCCGTTCCTCATCACCAGTACCAAGTCTAATGTTGTCACAAAAAGCACCTAAGGGCTTCAAGATTATATTTTATTCAGCCTCAGTTCCTGATATTTTCGACAAATAAGAAATCGTGATTGGTGCGAAGTGATCACGCAAGAAGGATTGCTCGGGGAAACGTCATGCATGTTTCATATTGCATAGACTTACAGCTTCGCGAGCCCACATACGCCAATCAGCCACCGTTTAGCATTAGATTACGCCATAACAAGAGGATAACATATCGTGCGGCAGCAGTATAGTTTTCTATTCAGTCCGGTGATCTCCAGCCCCCAGCTTGAGAAGCAAATGGACGAAATTCGAGACAAACCCGTCCTTGGCGTACCTCGCAGGGAGATATTGTCATTTTCCCACCTCAGCCCTCCTCAGTCATTTTGCGAAACAACAACCGTATTGTGCGGTGCGGGAAAGAGTTCCAATATGGCACATGTATAGCTTCACCAGCGAAAGAATCCCAATCGTCGGCAAATGCTCAAGCATGAATGTATAATGTATGCGTGCATGCATCGATTTGCGTGTTCGTCGGGGCGTAAACGAAACTGTGCACATCAAACAGGTCCTCGCGCATCGTGCCACCCGACAGAGGCGGGCAACTGTGTGTTGCCCGCCCTGTCACTCCCTTCTCCGCAGCGCCGAGGTGAGCTAACGCGCGCGACTCGGCGCAGGGGTGCTTACGAGCGTGCTCCGCGGTGGGTGCGGCGGCCGGCGCTGTGGAGGACGGCCAGTGGTGTGTGTGCGGCACGGCGGCCCAGCTCGCCGCTCTGACGAGCGCCGGCGCCGGTTGCACGTCCACGTGCGCGTCGACGGCCGAGACGTGCGGCGGCCCAGACGGCGTGCTGTCGGCCTCGGACGTGCCGGTCGGCGCCGCGCCGCTGGCGCTCACGCCGCTGGCCGGCCCGCTCGACATGGCCGCCGACGGCACGGCCCGATGGACGGTCCAGGGTAACATCGCCAGCAACCCCGACCACTTCCTGGTGGACACCGGCGACGGCTCGCCTCGCTTCCGGCTGAGTGAGTGATGCAGAGGGCGATGTAACGCGGTAGACATAGCTGGACATTATAAAATGGGCGATATTTCATGGGGCTGCATTTTGCTCGTGCAGCGGCTTCCATGGTGGTGGTTCCGGAAGGCCATGGGAAAGGGATCCTGTGTCGAGCTGCTGGACGAACTGTGGACGGTGTATAGCCCCGCGCGTGTGCATGTGCCGGCAGACGGCACACAAGCGGTGGACGGCAGTGTCGACTTCAGCAGCCAGCTCACCTTTCTCGCCCCCGGCGACTACACGGTGGCGGTGCTGACGGTCGGTGGTGCCGCGGCCGCCTCCAACAGCACCTCCGTCACGGTGCAGAGCGCCAGCCTGCTGACCTCGCTGACCTGTCCACCGCTGGTGGTGCCCGACCAGCAGTACCACTGCCTCGCCTCGGCGTCCGGCTCCGCTGTGCAGCTCTCCGCCACCTTCAGCGACGAGGGCACGGCTGTCACGCTGGTGGCGCCCACTGCGCCCTGGACCCGTGTCGGCCGTGCGCCGCCTCAGGGCGACACCGGGCCAGAGGTGAAGCTGGCCGGCGGCGAGCAGCAGGTGACACTTCGTCAACCGTTCGTGGATCGCACCCTCCTGCGCGCGCTGCGATGGTACGGCGCCACTGACGGCACGTGCGAACTCACGGTGAGAAGCCGCGCTGCGTGGTTTCCAGATCAGGGACGGCGCGGTGGGGGGGGGGGGGGGGGGGGGAAAGGAACCAGAGGGACAACTGCCTTGCTACCGGCAGACTGTGGGCATGAGCATGGTTTGACCATCTTATAATTTTGAGAGGTTCCCTTCGCGCATGCGCAACGTTCTGTAACACCACAAAGTCGATTAAAATGAAGAGGGAAGAACCCATAACTGAGCTATGGTTACTGAATCAGGCTCGGGCTCATGAGACCCTTTTCTGCATCAAGAGGCTGTTCCTTTAGGAGTTCCCTTATGGATCAGACAGCCAATGGTCTGGGTCAGGACGCCCTATTTTGTGTCAAGGAGATCCCTTTGAACGCGCGAGAAGCCCACTTAGGCATGAGGGATTGTTCTGGGTTAGGAAAGACCCTCTATGAATCAGGAGGCCCCCATTCTGCGACAAGAGGCCTCTCCAAGTGTCGTAAAGCCGCTGATTTGGATAAAAACGACCTGTTTTGAAATACGGAGGCCCTGGTCTGCCTTTGGAGGCCCCTTTTGTGAATCGAAAGGATTCTGTTCAGGATTCTGAGCTCCAGTATTTGTGGTAAGGGGGCCGTTTTCTGGATTGGGAAGCTCACTGTGTTAATCGCAAGGCCCCTATTCGTGATTAAGAGGCCGGTTTTGTACGAGGAGACACATTTTCTGGACCTGGTGGCTTTCATTTGGAATTCTTAGACCTTTCGCCAGGCGACAAGGCCCTTGATTCATGTAAACAGGCCCATCTCTGAGTCAGGAGGCTTCGTTAACAATCAGAAAGCCAAAAGACCGTCTTTCCGGATTGTGGCGCCGTTTTGTTGGGAAACCTCTCTGTTAATCAGTAGGCCCAGTTTTTTAACTGGCCTTTCTAGCATGAGGGGCTCATTTGCTGGATCGCGAGGTTCCTTTAGCAATCAGGACGCACTTTATCTGGATTAGGACTCCCTTTTCCACATTGGGGCCTAGCTTTAGGATCATTTGACGTTTATAAACCAAGCGGTCCAATTCAGGAGACTCATCTTTGGACCCTTAAGCCATTTTCTCCAATTTGTCGATCCCTATGGATGAAAATGGCTCCATCTTGATGCACCCTGACATTGACCTGAGATTTAACACGCGTCCGGGTGGTCGGTTGAATTCCTTCGCTTGGGTAGGGGTCAGTTTGACCGCTGAGATCTCAAAGACTGTAGAACTGGATGCATTTAATTCACAGGGTGGGCTGATCTTTATGTGAACTCACTTGTGTCAAAATGTTAGGCTCCTTGGTCATGACATTGAGGCTAAATACGGTCAAACAAGGTCAAACTCCATACTGGTGTCTAAAGTAACCCAGACCTCATGCATCCGCCTTAAACCTAGACAGCTGTTCTAAGCAAAATGTCATCAATTTTAATTTCAGTTCGGTGACCTTTTTACCTTTGGAAGGTTCAGGTAACCAAAAACTTACGAGACTGATTCTATTCTGTTATTGAATGAGAGTTAGGGACCATGCTAGGCGGTATGTTCCAAAAACCAAATGTTGAACTGGGTAATGTGAGGTCAGTGACCTACTCTGACCTTTAAAAAGTTCATGGAGTACGTCTGTTGGAGTCCCTGTTAATGAATTTTAAATGAGCACCAAAACTAGACATAAAGTAAGCTCTCAAGTAAAAAGCAGGTTAGTTTTGTTTTAGTTTGACCTCATACCTGAACCTAGGTCAATAAAATGTATTGCGATTCCAGTTCAGTTGTTTTATTGCCTGATAAACTATCTCAGAGATGTATGCCTTCGTCTAACACTCCGTTGTCGCATCAGATTGAACGATTCCCTAGAAATGGCCTTCGCTGACAGCCACAGACCTCTCATAGGTCAGCTGCTGTACAAAATACATCTGATTCTGTACGCCAAAAAAACTTCACTATCATTGCTTGCAGCTATGCAAATTTTGGCGAGACTACGCCGCACCGTTCGGAAATCATTCTGAAAAAACGTTCGGGAATGAGGCAAATTGACCCCACGAGAGTGCGGGTTATTTCTTGTAGTGACCCAAGTTTATGTTAGCCCGGCATTGACCTTATATGAACACTTGGTGAGAGAGTCAAGCAGAGACAAGTTTAAGCTGCTATTTAGTAATGGTTCTTGTAACGAAGCACATTTTGGAAGCGCTGATTTTGAGAACCTGACTGACGCCTAGGCCACAGCTATTTTTGGAGAAAAGCCCAGGCATGACCCTCGTACCTTCGCAGGCCTTGTAAAGCCGAACCTATGTAGGCCTGGTAGCTTTCCGGGGCATCTGTAGGCAAAAGTTCCGCTAGAATATCACGCTGGGTGGTGAGGGCTAAAGGCCTGCCCGGTGGGGGAGGTGAAGGAGGACTGGGGCCGGACAATATCACGCTGGGTGGTGAGGACTAGAGGCCTGCCCGGTGGGGGAGGTGAAGGAGGACTGGGCCGGACAATATCACGCTGGGTGGTGAGGACTAGAGGCCTGCCCGGTGGGGGAGGTGAAGGAGGACTGGGCCGGACAATATGACGCTGGGTGGTGGGGACTAGAGGCCTGCCCGGTGGGGGAGGTGAAGGAGGACGGGGCCGGACAATATCACGCTGGGTGGTGAGGACTAGAGGCCTGCCCGGTGGGGGAGGTGAAGGAGGACTGGGCCGGACAATATCACGCTGGGTGGTGAGGACTAGAGGCCTGCCCGGTGGGGGAGGTGAAGGAGGACTGGGCCGGACAATATCACGCTGGGTGGTGAGGACTAGAGGCCTGCCCGGTGGGGGAGGTGAAGGAGGACTGGGCCGGACAATATGACGCTGGGTGGTGAGGACTAGAGGCCTGCCCGGTGGGGGAGGTGAAGGAGGACGGGGCCGGACAATATGACGCTGGGTGGTGAGGACTAGAGGCCTGCCCGGTGGGGGAGGTGAAGGAGGACGGGGCCGGACTTGGTTAGGGTATTCTCACGGCGGCGCGAGTGTTCAGAGTTGTCTTCGCCTGCCCCGACTACACGCCAGCAAAGCAGGAATGGCCTTTTAGTTTTGCTAAAGCCGGGAAGATCACTCTAATCGGTTTCTATGGAGTATATAGCATAAGCCGTTCTTAAAGCCTGCTGTAACAAGAGTTTACGATGACGATATGCGAAAGTGGTGCCAATCTCAACCAGTGCCAGTGAATCAGTGCCGCAAACTGTACAGTGCCTCTTCAAGGTCACACAGGGCTAACCTCATCATGGTCATCTGAAACCGGTGATATTCTGGATAAGCTCATTACTGAGAGCTCACGTATCATAAAGCAAGCCAGAGGAACCTCAGGTTATGACATTCGAGGCCATAAAGCTCACTAGGCTGCAGCTCACCAAACGTTGCTGATTGTCGTAGCATCATGATTCCATGAATTAAGCTAAGTTTGACTTGATTTTTGCAGCATGCCTGTGTCGCTCAGGTAGGGACTTGCAGCGATAGGTATTGATCGGTCTCATCGTTTTGAAGCTGTTTAGGTACACGCCAGGGCGAGAGGACGTGGAAAAAAGTATCCTATTGCCTCGTTGGCTAAGACCCTACAGACGCGCAGGACAACTTTGTACGTGATCAGACATCAACACTGAGGTAGGTACTCTGTGAATATGCAGCAAAAGGTATATCACCACTGCCTCAAGTTAAGAAGCCCGGCCACTGATGAACACCATTGTCTTAAGATTGCCATAAACTCCGCTCACTACCCTTCAACTCAAGCTTCAGCTTCAGCTCGCTGCTTATCGGGTCACCTCACAGCTTTTCCAGCGACCACCATAGACTAAACACGACATGGACAAGATAAATGTCGGACAAAACTGTTGTCACGCGATGCTTTATCCAGGCGGCGTGGAATGTAATGCGTGGCAGTTTAACGATGCATTTATCCGTCAGCACTTTTTCTCCACGCATTTCGACGGAACCACGGATCGGGATAACTTTCGGATCTAAGTCACTGCAAGTTTGTGTTTTGATCTTTGCGCTTTGCGGCGGTGAGTTTGTTGCCGGTCTCAGTCGGAGTTTATTTGCTTGTCAGCTTCTAGCCAGCTCGTGAATTGCCTTATCAGTTGGACGCAATGCCCTCACCACACATATTCGAAACACTGGTTGTGATCGTAAAAGGCTTTTGAGAATTCGAATTTTGGAAAAAACTAGAGAATTTGTCAAAGAACGCTATTTTTATTTTCTTGTAATGAGCACAAGTAGGGTACATTATTGTCAAAACATACATACTTATAAAGAACATCTGGACATTCGAAAATTTGGAGCTTATGTCAAGCAACAACGATGTATATTTATCAGTAATATCAGGGATATGCACGCTTAAGACGTGAGTTCTAATTGCAGGAGGCGTCATTTCTTGCGGACTGAAACTTGGTTGTATCGGCAGCGAGCACCGCTCTTGCATATTGTTTGTAAGGGAAGGTACCCCCTGAAGATGGTCGTGCGGCACTATACAGCAGCAGCAAAATTAACAGGGCGGAGATGGGGAGCCATCCTGCCCTCCCCCTCCCCCCTCCCCACGCCACACACAACAATCACCGGCACCATCCTCAGGTAACTGAAGAACACAATGGTGGCGTTTCCTCAATTTCTGGAGGAGAAAGGTGTACCGCAAGCAGTGCGACACATCCACAGCATGACCCGCGCCTGACTGCGTCAAAACGAAACGACATTCGACGCTTTTCTGAATTAGTCAACAAAGCGCAGCGCTGTAAATGCGTTCAAACAGCGCCTGCGATATATTCGTGCTGTGAAGCCTGCAATAAAAGAATCGTTCAAATTCTTGTAACTTTAAAAATTCTAACGCGACGGATGAACAGCGACATACAACTAAGAATTTCTATAGCCTTAGCCCGCGCCCGGCCGGGAGAAGTTGACTTCCTCCCCCTACGGTTTGTCGAGCACAGGTCGAAGGCGAACAACCACAGCAGCACAAAATGTCGAGCACCTCTTCATCCCTTTATTTGGCATCTTTAGCGCAAATTTGAAGATGTTATTTGCGAAGATCAGTGGCCTAGGTTAGGCCAAAAAGGCCAACATCTAAATACAATTTACCACAACTAACTTTTTGTGGACGGTCTGTCGAGCACAGGTCGAAAGCGAACAACCACAGCAGCACAAAATGTCAACCACCTCTTCATCCCTTTATTTGGCATTTTATTGAAAATTTGAAGATGTTATTTGCGAAGATCAGTGGTCTAGGTCAGGCCAAAAAGGCCAACATCTAAATACAATTTACCACAACTAACTTTCTGCGGGTCATTTGTCATCGTTCAACCCTGTTATTGTAATAGGACATGATTGTACCTACAGCTGGTTATGTCAGATTTTTTGGAAATGGCAAGGTGAGCGACCTGAAGTCGGGTAAATTTTAGTTATTTTTCGTGAATAATGCAAATTTGTACATACTTTGTGCAGTTTTGGTGTTTGTTTATCAGGTAAATATTACTGAATAACACGTCCAACCATCATGTGACCACAAGGCACGTAGCCTGGGCCCAGGTCATGACCAGGTTTGATGGGTACCTATACAAAACATACGCTGAGTTCAAAATAGACAGTTTTGGGGGAGATTTTGGTCACACCTCGAACACTTCACTGAAAAGATGTGGCATCATTCGAATGCATGACGAGATCAAAATAGGTCACATGAGAACAGGAGAGGTCATATGAGGTCATCCCAGGTAAATTATCTGATGCAAAAGCTGAAAGGCAAGATGAAGGGGTGCGACGCGGGTAACAACTTCATGTACCAACGTGCCTGCTCTCAGTTTGTTATGTATGCCTTGCCAAGCGTCGAAGGAACTACGCATAATGTAGACAACAGCCACGCAATCTTGGGTATCTGTTTATGTACAGCACTCTATTTCTGACCACATAGGAGCAGTATACTGGTCCCAAAGGCCCCGTTAGCACTTAAATTTTCATTTAAATAGTTTACGGATTTGACCTGGGTTAATCTCAGATGACCTCAAGGCTATCCTAAAATGTTAGTTTTGTGGTTGGAACGTTTTTATCTCACAGCTGCGTGTAGTAAAATAAACGTATTTTAAAGCACATTGCGAAAAGGATCGTTCTTGTAGGCTACTGGTAGACCAATTTTGAACGTTGACCTGATCTGACCTGATCCTTGCGGAGAAACAGGAATGGTCGAAACGTACTTGCCATATTCTTAACGCTTATTTACATGACCTCAATATCCGTCGTGACATGTTAGCACAGGTTTTAACCGCATCTACGTCACCTATGTTTGTCTGTCCCGGTGGCTCAGCTGGTTAGAGCACCTGCCTTCCGACCCACCCACCCGTGGCGGGGTGGGTTTGAGTCGCTTTAGGCGCGTGCTATTTGTCGTTGACAGTCATGGCCTGCGGCGGGTGGCAGCGGCCGTGCTTAAGGTCAGTTGACGTCAGACCGTGCTGAACATTGCCGCACGGTAAACTTCCGCCACCAAACTTGCCGTTGCGCAGGAATTGCGCGACCGGATGGTGGGGGTCAGGGCTCGCACAACAAGCACCACTTAGCGTGAGCTTTTGTCCTCAGAATTCATCTATTTAAAAGGTTCGGGTTCGATGTTTTGAATCCATCGAAACGACCTTGTTTGACCTTTCGTGACCTCTGGTGACCTTCATTTGACCCAAGGTCAGAAATTTGATGCGCATTCGTCATAATTTGACGAGACCCCCACAGCGGTATCTGTGCTCTTCTCATACGGCGTGTGGAGAGTGGAGATCTCAGGTGGAAGTCAACTTTCCTTCGGCCGGGCGCGGTTGCCTCAGATCCGGGCCGGGCGCGGGTTAATACATTTTTGGTAAGCATGCTTGCTTTTAGCCTACAAATGGCCACTTTGCTGTCATTGCAACCACATCAAAATGTCTTTCTCATACACTTAGAAAACTGATTCCTGCCGGACTGAAATGACTAGATGAATATTACGTAAGTTGTTGAGCACGTTTGCGGAGAACATCATGCATATAGATGGGAGCTTTCTGTTACCCCTTGTCCTCATATACTTACCAGGAGACAGCAGAGATAGATGGATTACTATGTCAGCTACATGCCTTTATCGAAACAAATATCAGCTGTGTCGACGTGCCGAAGTAGACAAACGACATGGACAAACGACGAGGACAGTTTGTGTTGACGTGGACAGTTTACACTGACGTGGACAAACGACAACCACCGTTGTCTACGGAATCTTGCACACGGAACCACCTCACATTTCCTCAATTGGCATGTGAAGTTTAGCCGGTGTTTAATGTTAACTCAATGAATTCGCATTTGGCTGTCTTGGCTTCGAACTGACATTCACTATCGGAGGCCTTGCCTTGAGCAGCTACGTGCGCGTTGCTCTTGCCTAGATTATCGCGATGCAGGAGTCGCACACTCAATTGATATTCGTCATGATGATCAAACGTCAAAAAATATATGTAATGATATTCCGGCTAAGCCGGAATATCATTACATATATTTCTCCTTTCTCCCGATTATTCTGCGGGGAGTAAGGCCAACAGTTGTGCTTGATCTTTATGGCATTACTTCTTTTATAGGAAATGCTGCTTAAGAGATTGAAATATATACCCGAAATAGCCATGTGGCACATTCACGGTTCACTTTTGTCTGGTCTTGCGTAATATGTATATGAGCCGGCATATCCACGCGCCATATGTATATGAGCCGGCATATCCACGCACTCATTCCTTGCCACCACCTTAAACCTCACCACTTTACTTTACCACCACTTTACTCATCCCTCACCACTTTAAAAGACAAGGTGCGTAAACCAGATGGTTGATCTACCCTGTTCCTTGCATTAAAAAACTATGGCCTTAAATCTGGCTGTTTAAAGAGCAATGAAAAATACGAATGCTACTTTGGTATCGTTCTTTTTCCATGCTGATCGAACGTCTGCCCAATTAGCCACCAACAACAGCTCGAATGATTTCTAACCAAAACTTTGTCATTGTTCGCGACTGAAATGTACCTAACTAACAAAAATTGACTTCTATTAAAGTAGCATTTCGAAAATGCTCCGACCATTATTGTATGCAACTGGTGTTCATGATCACCTTCAGTTTCCCTTTGGTACCCGAGAACTGCCACTTTTTTGCTTTCACAAACCACAAAATTACTTTTAAAATCGTTGATGCCACTTCCCTCAAGTTTTGTGGCTACTTCAACCAGCGCAAATAGGTTGCTGTGGGAATCTGCCTGCTCTTTATGCGCCCAAGCTAAGGAGATACATGGGAGAGTATGGCCCAGAATGATGGTACATGCATTATATTGTAATGGGGCGGGTCATAACACGTAATTTTCCACTATTCATTGGCGCTTTGCTGGTGCACAAAATTGCTGCATGGCGTCAAATGGCATGGCATGTTTCTCACCTATTTTTTGTTAAGGGTCTACGTGGACTTTTTAATTGGCTACACTGATAAACCTCGCTGTTGAAACATTTCCTAATATTATAGCGGGAGGCGTGTCCGTGGTGCCCGCTAGCACGCACCAGCTGGCCTCGTGTTAGCGACTTCCATTTTGTCCTGGAGACCCTTCGAGAAATTCTGCCCTTCCACCAAATCAAAGTTCGTGATGCCGTCCCTGATTGCAACGCAATACTCTGAGAGGAATCTAAATACACAGTGTTGGAGTCGAACAGGATAGAGCGTATCACTACGTTATACGTTGTACGCAACGTTATATACGTTATATGCGAACGTTATAGAACGTAGCACTGGCTAAGCGTGTCAAGCCCAATGAAATGCGCTACGGCCGCGCCTGGCGTACGTGTTGTGTCTGTGCTGCCGGGTGATGGTGTTTTATTTACGCTGAAGTAATAGTGCTGATCTCTGTCCTTCACGTAGTCTTTGCGTGAAATGGGTGCGCGTGATTGGTAATGTGGTAATTTAGTGGCACGTACTCGGATCGTGATGATGCCTACGGTCAGAGCGCCGCGGAATCGCGAGCGCACCAGCACTCAAGTGGCAACCTCGCCGTGCGCCATCATCTATCGGATTGAAAAAACTGCTTTTGGAATGGCCTCGTCACGCTGGCCGAACAGTGGGTGGAGGGAGCCGCCGACAATTGTGTGTAACTAGCGCCGTGCTCCACCGGCCAGCTGATGGCGGGCAGCTGCAGCGGGACGGGCGAGCTGTTCTGTGCTAGTTCGGGCCGCTGCACTACCTACTGCCCGCTGCTGCCCGACTCCAGGAACCTGACCTGCGATGCCAGCCAGCCGACGCTCTGCGCCTTGTCTGGGCAGGTGAGTGACACCTGCCCGCCTTGCACCTGCCGTCCGACTGACCAATTTCCCTTTTCTGCCCGTGACCTTTATCATGCCCATCGCTTTTGGCAGAGATTGGTACTTAGTCGTGCCTTTAGATGAGAAATGGCAAGAAATGCAACTCATACCAGGCTGCAACCTGGGTGTTTCTTCACATGACGTCTTTTCGCGTGACCTTGACGGTATTATATCGTGTTTATCACCTGCACGTTCCTACCCATTGCGCAGTGTTCAACGGATGGGACCGGCTCTGGCACGTGTACCGCTACATCCGCGCCGATGTGGACTGCATCTTCGCTGCCCGGTGTACCGTTCTCTACCGCCGCTGGCGCCTACGGTCACCTGGTGCTCACCACCGAGATGTGGGCCGAAGTCGGCCACTTTGCTCAGGTTCGTGTTGGACAGACGACAACCACCCCTGTCTGCGGAATCCTCGGGACCACCTCGCATTTGCTCAATTGGCGGCTAATTTGTAGCCGGCCTGTGATCCTTAACTCAGTGAATCCGCATTTCGCTGTCTTCGCTGTCTTAAAATCGCGTTCATTGCTGGCGGATTGGCCTTGGACAGTTACGTGCACGTTACTTCCACCCAGCCATCACGATACAGGAATCGAGGCACGGTCTGTGAGCGAGTGTTCAGATGAGCACAGGTGAGCTTCGCGTCATCAAGCAGCCTGCCCCGATACATGGTTTTTGCGGGTTAGTTTTTTCTGAGCCGCTCATGCATTTTCGCGACCGAATCAATGAATTTTGGCCTGCTCCCTTGATTGCGCGTCAATGCTTTCTGCCAAGTTTGTAAAGAGGCGCTCAGTAGCGGCAGATACCACAGCAGCAGCGCGCCGGCAACCCCAGCAGTGCGTCGTGACAGAAGTGGGCGCTCCTCTACTCAGGATGGTACACTTGTGATCTTTATCAGACCACGCGATGGACAGCTGGTACCATTCATGAACTGGCATCCCTCCGACATAACAAGGGCTTGTGATACGGCTAAGAACGCATTCTCTGGCAAAGCGGCGCCACTGTAAAATCAAGCCTTATCCGCTTCTGAAAAGCACGCCTATAATGAATGGACGCTTTGTGATGAAAAATAAGAACCTTCTGTAGAAAATTACGTAAAAAGTATGCATGCCTGGATCTCAAGTCCACCAAATAACTTCAGCCGATACTATATTCAATTTGCCTCGCGCTAAGTGTGTGTCATTGATTCGTTTTCTGTTTCATCAACAAGATCGATGTGGGTGCTGGGACTAGGCGCCTCCAGGAGCATTTTTGCGAAGCGACGACCATTAGGGGCACTCCGGGTTTACGCTTGCAACGTCCTGAATTTGGGACGAATACGAAAGACGCTCAGTTTTCTCGAGACTATAGTTTCCGAAGATATGTTACTCTTGCTGCCTTCGTTACTTTTTCTCTGGCTCAGACCATACTTGAACCTTATTCAGCGCCTAGCGTCTGTATCAGCATTTTAACAGGGCTCTGCGAGTGCTCTGACATGCTGGTGTTCATTGTATGGTCATTTATCTAAAATACACGTACGCCCACGCACGTGCGATCCCTCAGGGTACACATTTTCCTCCTTTTTTATTCATTGGCTGCATAGACTTAGGAGGGTAAGCAGCTGGAGAAGGAGTAGGACCTTAAATACCATCTACTTAAAAAACTTAGGAGTACAAATTACATGTACGCAAAACCATCTTCTCGGAGCAAGCTTTCCCAAAGCTGGACGGAATCATGACGAGTGGATGCGCACGTTAAAGTGTAAAGCATATTGTCAATCATTGGTTGGCTACGCTGGTATTTTACGTTCTTTACAACTGGTTATCCGACATTCCAATTCATTCTCCAACCAAAGCAAGTTATAAGTGAGAGGTACTAATAGCCTTATTCCTCTTAGAACAGCCAGGAGAATGGAGAGATAGATATTTCGATATGTCAGCTATACGCTTTAATCAAAACAATTACCAGTAGTCTAGTAATATACTACTGTACTGATATCATACTACCACTGCTTTTACCCCAAGCTATGCTTAAAAAAGGTTCCGTGCCCCTAGCCCGTTTGACAGTTAAAGTATCATGGTGTGTGGCGATGGCGGGTTCCACTTTATACCTCTTCTATATATAATACAACTGATATTCGTTCCGATAGAGACATGTAGTCGAACTATCAATGTATCTATCTTTTCTACTGGCTATGCTACGAGGAATAACGCTATTAGTACTGTCGATATGCATAATATCCCTTACAAATGCACTTACAAACTTACAGAGCCAGTTATATTTCAATTGGGTTCCTGGATTTTGAGAACTCGATGAATGATGGCGTACGGCATTCTTCAACGTCTTCCAGACGTGAGCTGACCTGTCCAAAATATGGTTAAACACTGCATAACTTAGCGCCAACGCAACCATCTGAGACTATCAGACAGTAGCTTGAATAAGAAAACATATGTGACAAGAGCAACGATCAATGAGGCTGGTAAAAAGCCAGAGCTTCAGGTTTCGAAAGTTAAAAATTTGTTCCATGGTGCAGCGGGAAGTAAGGTGACCCAAAAACCGCTTTCTCCCCACCCTAAACATACAAAATCTTCGCTTTCCCATGCCTGTATGACAGCTTAAGTATAATGTCATGGCCTAGAGGCTTCCATTTTCACTGGTGTGAACCCAGATATGGAAAGGAAATGACATTCTATCCAATTTTCTGACATTGCCATGGGAAAAGTGGCCTGCATGTGCCAAGCTTTTCATGTTCTATGGCATGCCGCCCAACGTGCATTTTTTACACTACAAAACAGTCGTTGCCTTGGAATGGGTATATATGGCATTTAAAACCCATGTTCTCATCGTTACGCTCTTTTTGGTTATGGCGCCCCAAATGCCCTTTGTCTCCCTGGTGAAAATTGTGATTACTGGATGCAAACATTAGCCCTGTCACTGGCTCAACAGCTCACTTTGTGTTCTGCTTCGGCAGGTCACATGCACAACCGGATCTTTGGCACACCTCAGCACCTCAGCTGGAGCAGGTGACTTTGGTTCGTCAGAAGATAAACAGTACCTGGTCGAGGTGGTGGGCATCCCCGAGGCCCCCATCGGCATCCCACACACCTGCGGTGGCATGGGCAACATCACGCTGGCCATACCGTCAGACAGTTCGGCGGCCAGTACCCTAAGCGCGGTGACGTCGTGCGAAGTGCCGATCGAGAACATCACCATGGCGGTGGCGCAGAAGGGCGCGCCGGTGGTCGCCGAGTCGTCGCCACCGACCACTGTCGCCTTCTGCGGCGAGTTTGTGGTGGAGGCGCTCGAGCCGGTAACAATCCAGGTGCAGATCGCGCAGGGCGCGCCCGTCCTGCTGGACTACGATTTCGGCACAGCCAACATTCCCAGCGTCTCGGAGGCGGTTGACCGGCCTGTGTTAGCGGCCGAGACGTTTGAACAGACCGTCTCGTACGCGGCTTCGGGCGTGTACACGGTGCGTGTGACGGGTCGGAACCAGCATTCGGACCCCGTCCGCGCCGACCTTCTGCGCACTCACGCTGATCGTGCAGCATCCGGTCAAACCCGACTGGCAGCTTATCAACACAACTGACAGCCGGATGCTGGTGGTTCTTGACCCGCCGGTGCCGGCCGAAGTGATGCTTCAGCTGCGGCTGCCCAGCGCCGTCCAGCTACCGACCAACGCATCTCTGGCGGTCGATTTTGGCGATGGGCTCGCCATGAGTGTCTCGCTGTCGGATACGACCATCAAGTGAGTTGTGGGAGTAGGATAATGCGGTTAACCGAGGATGTCAACAGTTGGTGACCAATGTTAGCTGCTGGTTGGCTGATAGTTGATCCTCAATGCCCAGAGCGTAGACAAAATACCTGTGTCTGGTGCCTTTGCTTTGAAATTGATCATTTCTTAGCTTAAATTTCGTTTTTTTCTAATAATGATCAAATGAGTATGCCACCTATCCTCGGTGTTCACAATAGGCGGCATGTATTCCAAGGCATACATCACTTACTGGCCTAATTCTTTGCAGCCTGGACGACGCCACGCCATCATCGTCGGCTGTTGACGGATTTTTCGTGGCCCCTTTCGATCACTCGTACTCCAGCAAGGGAATTTACACTGCGACCGTGATTCTCTCCAACCGCGTCAGCGAGCAGCAGTATAGCACAATAATAATGGTCGAAGATAAAATTATTGGTCTACAACCCTCAATCCGGCAGCAACAAGACGACAGAACAGTGGAACTGGAAACTGGAAGGGGAGATCTCAGCAACGAGTACAGGAATGACCGGAATTTGACAATTTTCTTCTCACTGGTCCAGGGAACAATGACGAAAGTCACTGTTTATAACAATTCTGAGACGGATATGGAAATCATATACACTCATGTGTTCGTCGACAAGAATAACCCGGCCTTAGAAACAATAACGATCCACATCGCCACCAATCAGTTACTGAATTTGTCATTTGTGGCAGAGAATTCTTACGAGACCACTCCACAAGTGGTGGCGACGATTGCTATCGTCTTCCCCATAACGGAGATCACGAACCTGAAGATATCTATGGACAAGCTGCAACCGCCGGACTTCAAGCTGAAATCATTCACGGTCGATTTCGAAACCGCCTCCACGCAGGAGTTATGCTTGGCAGTCAAGTACGGGGACGCTTCCCCCAGGGTTTCCTATGGCGATGAAGGCATGTGCAACCAGATGTTTCCTGATGCAGCGAACATGCCCAATGAACTGACACAGCCGATGAAGTTGCAGTACCAGTACCGCAGTAAAGGCACCTACAACGTGACCGTGGATCTATTCAACCCAAAGGACCATGAAACATATGAAATGCTTTTAAGTGTGTCTGATTTGCCGTGCACCAATCCTGACGTAACTATTGCGGGAGCGTCAGAAAATCGAGAGGAGCCCCCACACTACCTGATGTCACAAAACATCATTTTAAGAGCTGAAATAACTCTGGACTGTGGCACAACTCTGTCGACCAAAAAACGTTGGCAGGCCTTCATGATGAGACCCGGAACGCCGCGGTCGGCTTTCATTATGTACGAGCTGCCGTCGTGGGATAAAACCGAACTGCTGCTGCCAAGCAACTTCCTGAAGCCAGGCCTTCACAAGGTAACATTCACTCTGACCATGGGCGAAAACGGAGCTATGGGTGAGGACCTGTTTCAAACAACGGCTCAAGCATACCTGCAGGTGGATCGCACGCCGCTTTATGCGGGCATGATCCGAGGCGCTGTGTCCAAGATTGACTGTGGATGGAGCCAAAAGATTATCTTGGACGCAATGACCTACTCTACCGACCCAGACGCGCCAGAACAGAAAGACTTCACGTACGAGTGGTATTGCAGAAGGCTTGGTGAGACGCTGCCGAGGAACGAGACCGGGGCTGCTACAGTACCCGCCCAGCTCCTGTCTCCTCGTAGTGCCGGCGGGCCGGTCCCATCTCCAGATCTGGGAGGCTGCTTTGGGGAGGGCCCAGGTCCACTGGCATTCTCTGGCGGTCGACTGAACATCAGTGCAGACATTCTGCAGCCCTACCGACAGGCATTGACATTTGCTTTCACAGTTGTGGTCATGAAAGATACAAGGAAGTCAGAGGCAGAAGTGCAAGTTGCTATGGTTGATGGGAATCCGCCAAGGATTGAAGTCCAGTGTGCTGACGCTGTTCTTTGTGCGCCCGCTGTCACAGGTGTCATGGTAAACGTCCAGCATAACCTGGGCCTGCGTGGCGACTGCGTCGAGTATTGTGATCCCCAGCTCACCTGGTCTTGGGTATTGTCCGCGGTTGATGGAGACACAGTTACACCAATATCCAACCAGGATCAATACCTACCCATCAGCGACACAAATGAAGTACGGATATCGAACAAACTTTACTCGGATCATCCCGACATCAAGCAATTCCACGTCGGACTGCAAGCGAGTAACGGAGTAGTAGGTAACCCGAGCGGGACCGCCACATACTTTATCACTGTCAATCAGCCGCCAGTGGTCGACGGGAAGCTGTGTGCCTGCCAGTCCACCAGCAATGCCAGCCTGGCACTTGTTGGCACTTTCTCAATTACATGCCAGATGCCTGTCGACCCTGAGGGACGTCCAATTCGCAAGGTTGCATTCTCCTCGGATGTTACCGGCCCCACAGGCAAAACCGAAAGTAAAAAATTGGACGTTATTTCTCCAGGTGCATCCGACCAACAGATCCAGATCACCGTGCGTCCAAGCTTGGGCGTTAATCAAATCCAGTACGTGGCCGAAGACCAGCAGGGAGCTACGGCGCGCAAATCTGTCTGCTCAATCTCCTCTGACATGCCAACCGAGGAACAGTACAACGACTTCATGGCTAGCGACCTGGTGAGGAGCATGACTGGGACTGGGGATGCGAGCACCGCATTTGCCATCGCCCAGGCGAAGGGCTCTGTGACCACAACGGCGACGTGGGTCACCGGCCTGTCCGGTCAGCAGAAGGACGATTACGAAGTCAAAGAATCTGCTGAATGGGCTGCCATTCTGAAAACTGTTCTTAACAAGGCTGCCGTAGGCAAGGAAGAGCTAAGTTTGGTAGCAAACGTGGTACGTACGAGCACTGAGAGGGCATCGGACGAGGTCCTGAAGCTGGACATGGAGAATCTGGAACTTGTAAATCAACTGCTCATGAAATGTGCATTAGGGCTGAAGGACGCCGGATTTGCAACTCCCGAGGAAATGCAGAATGTTCTTCAAGACGTGTTGCATTCGGTAAGCATAATGAAGAAAAACTTAGTCAAAGTTGCTCGAGATGAATCATGCGAGTCCATTTCACCCTCAGATTTAAGGAAAGCACCACTGATGCACGTTGAGAACACCTTAGACTATGATGCTGAGCCGAAGGCGCTTTCGTACGAAATGGAATTGAAGTGCAATGTGCGGGACAACGTACTGGCGAGGTCTGACGCCCTGGTAGATGATCTGACAAGGATTGAGACATTAGTGGAACAGGCGCCAATACCGGGCATGGTGGCAAATGACCGCCTTGTATTGAATCATGGCGGCGGTACAACTGTGACGACAATGGCACCAAACGTGAGCAGTTTAAATATGTCGTTAGGAATGAGTGAAGTGAAGATGCCGGATGGGTTTGATGTCGGTGATGGCAAACCCGTGGCTGTGACGATATCAGATACTGCCGTGAACGCGAAAACAGCCGTGAAAGGTGCAGAAATGGTCTCATCCGAGTCGCATGTCGTATCCGTCGGCTTTGCCGATCGAAATCTGCAGCATATCCCGGTGAACAATCGTACTCCGGGGATTGAACTGAAAATACCTCAGAACAACCGGCGTGGCCAGGATGGGAACTGCTCTACGTGCCCAACTCCTCCGCAGTTAGTAAATGGAACCGATGCTCTTAAGGGAAAGTTCCTCTCCATCGTGTTCTCTGAATTCAACATCACCAAGCCCAAAAGCGCCTTTAACATTGAATTTCATCCTGAAGGCGATTCTGTGGAAGATTTCTTCGTGATGGTGAGCTTTAATCGCATGCCGACGCTTCGGAGGCATTCGCTCTTTAAGATGGTGAGCCACTTCCCGTTCGTGACGAGCCCAGAAAATGGAACCACGGATAACTTTACGAGCCACAGACTGTTTGTTAGCAGCGAATGGGTTTCCAATCGACAGGGTAGGGTGTTTGTCGGCGTTGGACAATTCAATGAATCCAGCACCAAGTATGCGGACGTCATGAACATCGTCAACGCTAACCGAAGCGATTTCAGCGCTTTCAAGAGCCAGGAAATTCTACGAAACAAACTTACCATCGACTATCGTTTGATAACCTATTCCTTATTATGTACCTATTTCAACACAACGTTGGGAGAATGGGACAATGATGGCCTAACGGTTATCACAGCAGACATCAACTCAGTTCGCTGCGAGAGTTCGCACACGACATCCTTCGCCTCAGGTTTGTTCGTGCAGCCAAACACGATTGACTTCGCATATGTGTTCGCCAACGCGTCGTTTACGGACAACATGACAATCTACATGACGCTGATTCTGCTGCTAACTATGTACCTCCTGCTGCTAATCTGGGCCCATTGGCAAGACAAGAAAGATGTTGAGAAGCTGGGATCCATGCCGCTGCCTGACAACAAGGCCAGTGACAAGTACTTGTACGAAATCATGCTGTTCACTGGTCACAAATCCGATGCCGCTACCGATTCCTGTGTTTCCTTCTTTCTGTCAGGAGATGACGACGAGACGGGGTCACGGACCTTCGGGAAGCCCAATCGCAAATTCTTCCGAAAGAGCGGCCAAGATGCGTTCGTGATGTCCGTTCCAGGCCCACTGGGGGCACTTCAGTACCTGAGAATTTGGCACGACAACTCAGGAAAAGGCCGCTTCGCCTCGTGGTTCCTGCAATACGTGCTGATCCGCGATGTGCAGACTGGAGAGACGACTACGTTCGTCTGCAACCAGTGGCTGGGCGTGGAGTACGACGACGGCTGTATCGACAGGCTAATCCCAGTGGCTGGCAAAGAGCAGATGCGTGAGTTTGCGCACCTATTTCCTCACACTTCTCAGCAGACTCTCTCCGATGGCCATCTATGGTTCTCGGTCTTCCTCCGACCACCGCGCTCTCGCTTCACACGAATGCAAAGAGTCTCCTGCTGTTTTGCGCTCCTCTTTCTCTCAATGATGGTTAATGCCATGTGGTATGGCCAAGTGCCGTCAAAGCCGAGCACTGGTGCCCTCAAGTTCGGTCCGCTCGCGGTCTCGCCAGAACAGATATCTGTTGGGTTCATGTCCAACATCATTGTTTTTGTGCCATCCCTCCTTATTGTATTCCTTTTCCGAAAGTCGCGCCCAAGGAAGCTGAGAACGTCTCGTATCGATGACGCTATGGCAAAAGTAAAAAGAGACAACGAAGAAAGAGCAACAAGAGCTGCTGCAATCGACAACAGCGAACGTGTCAAAACCGACGACGACGGGACGGCACCTGCAGGACCCTCCGGACGGAAATCCAGCAAGAAGTCAAAGACGACAGCAAAGCGAAGGTTCACGCTCCCATGGTGGGGTACGATCATTGGCTGGGTGCTCTGCTTGGTCTGTCTGTTCGGATCTGCCTTTATCGTCTACTCGTACGGCATAACATTTGGCAACGAAAAATCCACCAAGTGGATCACGTCGCTGTTCATATCTTTCTTTTCTTCCGTTCTCCTAGTCCAGCCACTCAAGGTGTTCCTCACAGCCATTGTGATCTCAGCCATCTTCAAGAACGTAAACCTGGGCTCTGATGACGCCAACGAAGATGAGGAGGATCCCCATCTGTCTTCCGACGAGGAATGGCTGGTGGGGCATTCCGGCAAGCGTCCGCCGCCCGCCAACGCAGGCAGTCCTTATGACAAGGAGCTGCTCAAACAGATTCGCAAGCAAAGAATGAAGGAAATTGAAATGGGTGTTATCGTCCGAGAAATCATCAGCTACGCTCTATTCTTGTGGATTCTGTTTGTCTTGAGCTATGACAATCGAGACCCAAATGCATACTTCCTTCAGAAAAACATCCAGAACGCTTTTGTAAAAGAGGGAGATCTGACGAACTTTAACAGGTGGCTGGATTTCTCCAGGGTGCATAACACCAGCGCTTTCTGGTACTGGTCCCGCAACGTCATCCTGCAGGAGCTGCGCGCGCAGACCTGGTACGACGGCATAACACCCGCCTACGGTTTGAGGGGATTCCTCGATGACCGCGTGAACAGAATCTTGGGTTACGCAATGATAAGCCAGGTGCGCTCACTGCCCAACACGTGCAGGATTCACCAGAGCATGCGGAGTCTCGTCGGCGGCTGCCACGGCTACACCAGTCTTGTCAATGAAGACAAGGCCCATTACTGCGCAAACTGGACTACGCGTGGCTCGGCGGTCGACTGCCGCAGGGGCGAATATCGGCACACCTCCGCCAGTGACCTGGATAGTCTGCCCTTAGTCGCCAAACAGGACGTGTACGGCGGTGGGCGTTACGTGTTTCGGCTTACCGGCAGGCAGTCGCATATTTTGGCCAAGATGACGCAACTGGAAGAGGAGAACTGGATTGACGAGCTAACTCGCGCCGTTTTCGTAGAATTCTCAGTGTACAATGCGCAGGTCAACTTATTTGGTATAGGCAACATGTATGTGGAGATAACGCCGGGTGGAGGAATGCATCCTGCCTGGAGATTTGATGGCATACGTCTCACAAGACAAGCCGGATCGCAACTATTCGTGATCATCTGTGAGCTGGTCTATTGTTTATTCATCCTGTATTTTATTGTTAGGGAAATCCGGCTGATGTGCAAGATGAAGAAACAATATTTTCGAAATTACGCTGTGTATGCAGAATGGTCGATAATCCTGTTGTCATTTGCAGGGTTAGTTGTGTATATCATGCGCTATGTGGAGACCACCCAGCTTCTGGATTTCTTCAAGAAAACATACGGCAACGGATACGTAGGGCTGCATTACGCCAAGGCACTTGATGATCTATTTGGATATATTGTTGGCATCATCGTCTTCATAGCCACGCTGAAGTTCATCAAGCTGCTGAGATTCAACAGGCGAATTGGCATGCTGTCCGCCACCCTGAAACAGACCTGGGGTGATCTCACTGGATTTTTTGTGATCTTTGCTATTGCGTTCGGCTCGTTCGGTCTACTCTTCAACCTACTTCTGGTATCAGCAATGGACGACTTCAAGACTTGGATATCTGCAGTAGAATCCTGTTTTTCCATGATGCTTGGCAAGTTTCACTTCTTGGAGATGTACCGAGGGAGCATCCTGGCAGCCATCATGTTCTTCTTCTTCGCCCTCTACATGAATCTCATCTTCGTCAATGTAAGTTTGTGTTTGCTGTTTCTTAAAGAATGTGACTGTCACATACCTTCTGCTAGATTGGGCTTTGAACGCACGTTTATAGTCTGTACTACTGTCGTTACCGTATTTGTGTAAAATGCACCGTTGTTCTTGATTATATCCCGACCATTTAACAAGAAGAGACAATTTGCAGCCTTCATGCGAACCATATGCAGTGGATTCAGAAGCTCGTGAATGGCCGACGATCATATGTTGTAAATTGTCATGATCAATGTTTCTCAAGCATGTGGTTTCGTGTGGCTGCGTGGCATGTGTTACTCTCAACAACCCACCGACGGTCACCTGCATTTCACATGCACATTGATATGTGTGGTCAGACACTGAGCGGGTTCACGAGGGTGTGTATGTCAACTTCATGCGGCCTGTTTAAACCACTGACACCGATGCCTCCTATTCGTTTGCAGGTTCTTTTGACCATCATCATCAAGGGGTTCGAGCAGGTCAAGAACGATGTCACCAAGCAGCCGAACGACTACGAGGTGGTGGAATTCCTGGTCAATCGGTTCAAGAAATTTATGGGCATTGGTGGCAATACAGTGAGTCCGCTGAAGGACTTGGTGAAGGAGCATGAGGCGGGGTCTCAGGCGGAAAAGGGCGAACAAAATGTCCAGGCGCTGCCTGATAAGGTTGGCCAATTCCTGGAGCAAGTCAATCACATGTACTTCGACGGAAATCTGGAGCTTAACAATAAGAAGTTCTTGAAGAAGACCATTCGCCAAGGAAAAGAAGATGGACATGGCGACCAACCAAGTGCCACGGGAAGAAGGCGTCCAAAGTCCATGGACGCCTTTCAGTCTCGCGGTTCAAATCTCTCCAGTGTCGAAAAAGAGCTAGACGACGTGTGAGTGATTGGGGCATTCCAGCCATACCGCTTTGTTGCGGTTGTCAATGTGCAGTGCAGTCTATATATTCTTCTTACTTTGCGTTAGCATGCGTTACTCAACCGCTCACAGACCACGAACTCGAATTGGTGATAAGTTGTTGCTCATCATGGATTTAGAAGTGGGCATGCCTTGTATCCTTTTTGATGCCTACAGGTAATGCCACTTCTGTGGTTGTGTACTGTACTGGAAAACTGCCATATGTTTCATTCAATGCACTTTATTTTATATCATCGGAAAGGTTAGTACCAGCATGAAGGCGACAACTTAACAGACACATTCTTCGAGTCATACTATGCCTAAGCTGAGTTCATGTCATATCCGCTATGTTTTGAGCGTTTTTTCTTCCTTTTCTGAACGGTGGACACCGGACTGATGACCAGCGCATGATCTGACCAGAGAATTATTCCGTGTGTCGTGCTCGCACGTTTTGTAGTACTTTTGCGGTACCTCAGGCATTGTGGTTAGAGCTGTCATAGTCTGAAACATTGTTCTTCGTTTTCTGGGATTTGAGCTCGGCTAGTATTTCAGAAGATTTTACATTCCGCTACTGATACTATTCGCGGTATACAGCCGCACAGTAGTGCAGCAGTAAAGTTTAAAATGTGGCATGACAGTAGGATGCTCATACCGTGCCCACAGGTATGTCCACATGCGTGGCACCGCTACGCGTTGGTATCAACACATACTGTATCTTATGGGTGTCACGGATGAGGAAAAACAAGTGAAAAATGGGGACTGAAATTCGTCAAATGAACGAGAACAGCTGTGCAGTAGCACAGAATGCAGTTTGCTGTGTGTTGCTGTTTGCTGCCGTTTGCAGTATGTTCTTTGGTTTAGGTCGTGTCTTACCGAAGTAAGCACTCAGTGTGGGAGATAATCACTAATCACTTGTGTTTTACCGCAGACTTTTCCCAATGCAAATTTCAACAAAGCCTCCGTGCTGTGTTGAGTGTACGCGCACGAGATAGCTGAAATTGGCACGCCAACGTAGCGTCTTCGCTCATTCTGAGAACTCTGCTGTCACTGTTCTTGCTCAACTTCGCTGTTTAAGGTGCCATCAAGTACATGGGCGTAAAAATATGAAACAGGTGGCAACGACCCCACTTTTTGAGAATCGCTCACGTTAGTCCTGTGACGACGCATGTAAAGGATCAACTTGAAAAATGTCACTGTGCCTTCACCTCCCCCTCACACACATCGTTTCTGAGACGTTCCTTCATTTATGATTAGCTACATGATTGTAGTTCGGTCTATGAGCGTTAAATGTGTCATCCTGTGTATGCCTGTTTGCTCACTTCTTTGTTAAGGCCATTCATATATTCACAACTGTTTTTGCGACTCTCACACTCGGGTCGTGGAATATCATGGGTGGTAATAGCGGTGGATGATCTTCTGCTTCGACAGAAGATCATCCACCTTCTGCGTGCCCTGTTTGTGGCTTTTAACTCTTGCGCGCGCAGTGTATATCATCATGCTGTGCTCTCATGTTGTGGCTCAACATTGCTTATTGGCGCAGTGATCGCACTCAGCCGATCTCATTTTAAATAGTCCTCCTTCATTTTAGAGGAAAATATAAGATGCACCCATAAACACTATGTGTATCAACATTGTGCGACGCAGTTTGTGCTTGATTTGCAGGGAATCTGTAAAGTGATGCATAATTATTTGCAAACGCCTAAGCATTTCTTCGCCCAACAGAGCTCGTCAGCTCATACTTGGTGTCGGCGAGGCAACAAGTGAAGGAGGCAAAGCAGAATCACGGATGGCTACGTAAAAAGACGTGTTAGGACCATAAACAAAATCGACCGATCTTTGCCAACGGAACAACAAGACTGGCTCTCATCACGCTTTGATGTAGGTGAAACTGAAAGAAAGCAAATGACACCTTCACGCACTTGAACGCACTTACACCGGACGGGGTTCTTCACTCACAATGAGGAACCTCTCCAGCAGATTACCAGATCGCATGACGCTTTAATTTCCGTGGCCGTTTTAGATCACAATGGCCCCTGTCCACGTCTCCATTTATTCGCTGGCACCAGGAAGGTGATCTGTTATGCCATGCGTTGGAATTACACGGAGAGGCAGGGCTGGCAAAGCTCTTGTTTAGAGAGCACAATGGACCACTGACAGGCATGGGTGACGATTTCTCAAAATAACAGCGGCCATAGTTGGTAAGTCGCCAAAAGGGGGCATGTACGAAACACTCGTCAGATTTCGTCCGCTTATACTATTTCAATATATATATATATATATATATATATATATATATATATATATATATATATATTTATATATATAGGCCTACATTTATTGCATGTTTAAAAGGCAATGTGAGTGTCCACAGCGATGATGTATGGAAGCCTGGCAGTTTGCATCACCTTATAAACGCACTAGTTTTAGGACGCAGAAAATGTGCAACTGCACCTTTGTCTTGCCTAGTTAAATGCGAAATATTCATGTAATTTGGCATTATGTGCTTAGTTATTTATTATGTATTGCTTTATGTTTGTTTTCACAAAAAGGGGTGGCCACAATATATGAAACCATCGCGAACCGTTTACGCGCTAGTTGCCGACGCAACAAAATCTAATCGACGGAACGCAACTAAAACCCTTCCACGCATCATTTAATGGTTTTCAAGCTTTCCCCAAATAAGCTTAGGCAGCTGGCCGCGCCACTTGATAATGCTCTTCCACGCATGTTTCAAGAACACCAATCACGAGGCTGCTACGCTTCTGGAGGGAACCGTTCTGAGCCGTTGTGTCTCTGAACGGAAAGTTACCCTCACCCGCTTCATTTCAAACTTACAGTAAAATCCGTTACGTCAATGGCATGCCCGACGAGCGTTGATCTTAACAGTGCTGCAAGTTGAGCTGGCTCGTCAGTGACAATGCGATTATACTTATGTCGCTTGTCACATGTACTTCATACGTTCATCCACAATTAACCGCCCGCACTTCCTCCGGACGACCATGACAGTTGTGCTTTCCAACGTTCGCTATCTCACACTGCATTTATTTATCTATTTATTTCGCAAAAGCAATCCGCGGGCTTAATGGGTGCCAATTACGGATGCAGTCAAGAACAAAAAGTGCATATGCGCAAACACACACACACACACACACACACACACACACACACACACACACACACACACACACACACACACACACACACACACACACACACACACACACACACACACACACACACACACACACACACACACACACACACACACACACACACACACACACACACACACACACACACACACACACACACACACACACACACACACACACACACACACACACACACACACACACACACACACACACACACACACACACACACACACACACACACACACACACACACACACACACCATCACGCCTGCAGAGTTACTCAAGTGCTTTGGCGAGCAGATCGGCCGCGTGAACGTGTCCACACTGCTCGCAAATTTGCGTGCATGGGAACGGAATTACTGCGGATGAAAATGTCAGCGGTTGGATCTATATGACGAGCATCACTCCAGCCGAAAAGAAAATTTTCAAACACAGCACCTATGCAGCGCCCGCCGAGCCTATAACAGTAAAGCAGAAGCTCACCTTCGGCAGGGTTGGTGATTGCTCTGTTTGACGCATGGGGCGATCTTTGACATCAGATTACGATGATGTAGTAGTATAAGTAGCATATCTGTGAATTTTGTATACAACTGCATTAAACTGTGATGTCCAAGACAGGGTGACGTGACAATTACACCCAGATTGTTGCACCTCCTTCTCAGTGGTGATGAGTCGATCATCGAACTAGCCTGCCCGGCTGATGGACTGGTGATGTGTCAACATGTACCAAAAGGTGAGTTGTTGCCTGGGCCTTTGATGGTTTTCCCTTTGTCCCGTTGCATGCGAATCAGTTGCGCAGCACTTCTGTTCAGTTCAGTATATTCCATCCAGTCTGGATTCTGTGGGTCTCCTGTTACCAAGCGTTTTCCAGTTGTCCATGCACTGTGCAAGCGGCGCGTGGATAAGCTGGCGCCAAACTGGATAAACTGGCGCCAAACTGGATAAACTGACGCCAAACTGGATAAACTGGCGCCAAACTGGATAAACTGGCGCCAAACTGGATAAACTGGCGCCAAACTGGATAAACTAGCGCCAAACTGGATAAACTGGCGCCAAACTGGGTAAACTGGCACCAAACTGGATAAACTGGCACCAAACTGGGTAAACTGGCACCAAACTGGGTAAACTGACGCCGAACTGGATAAACTAGCGCCAAACTGGATAAACTGGCGCCAAACTGGGTAAACTGGCACCAAACTGGATAAGCTGACGCCAAACTGGATAAACTGGCGCCAAACTGGGTAAACTGGCACCAAACTGGATAAACTGGCGCCAAACTGGATAAACTGGCGCCAAACTGGGTAAGCTGGCGCCAAACTGGGTAAACTGGCGCCAAACTGGATAAACTGGCGCCAAACTGGGTAAGCTGGCGCCAAACTGGGTAAAATGGCGCCAAACTGGGTAAATCGCGACGCCAGCCTGACGATTATTGCTACCTGGCCAACGGTTGTGGCTCGAATATGCTATCGGAAGTGTTCAGGACTGCCGTTTCGGTTGAATGGTTGCCGCAAAGATACGATGTGAAATGCGACATAAACTGGCCGCATACTTGGCCCTCTTTTAGTACAGGCACTACGGAAATGAGCAGGGTCGGTTTGAAGATGCCTGGTGTGGCCAAATCTAACAACCAGCTCCACATTGGCATCTCTCACTTTGATGTAGGTATTCCAGAGGCAACACTGTGTTGAGAATGTGCAGTGACGTTAGCATAAGGACTAGTTGTTGAGAATATGCAGTGACGCTGGCATAGAACATCGACAGTATCAAACGTTATGTTGACGCAACCACTAGCGCCGCTGGTGTTCAACGATACCATAGAGCATTTTAGTTCACGTTCCGTAGCGTATCGTAGGCAAAGAAACCGAAGCGCACTTGCGTAACATGAAAATCTTGTGTACCCGCCGAAGTGGCTGGTAATAGCTTCTTGGATGTCTCCCTCCTGATATAAACGACGAGCTCGTTGACCTGGCCGCCAGCGCATCTAGAAGCTTCGTTGGCAAAGGCCCCTTGCCAGCGACGATGCCACGGATAACGCGGTGCTCGCTTCTAGGCCTTGTCGTCTCTATTGGATGTCCTCGCGTCGATCGGGTCGGCTCCCAGCGATTCAGCTGTCTGGACACCGCGTCGGTGATACAAGGACAGTGATGTACTATGACGTCCTTAATCGCGTGCGGCACGGAGAGAGCTGCCGGATTGTGAATCTAGACTTACCACTGAGGGCAAGTTTTTCAAGCAGTGGTTCTGTGATGATCAGGAATGCATACTGCTGTTCATCAGGTTACATGGGCGTCAGCATAATGCTGCAGTTGACAGCTGCCAGATCCTGTTGGAGCATGTCAGTGTCGGAGCATTTTTTTTTTAAAGAGAACGTTCCACATTTGAAAACATTGAAGCAAGCATCGGATATGATGAAATACGCTCACTTATAGCTGTTGCCATACTTTTAAATGGAAAAGACTGCGCTAGACAACACAATTTATATATTTCACAGATATGCTACTCAATACGTCGTTGATTGATTATGTCATCATCCCTTGCATAATATCGATTGAGAACCAATTGACGGTCGTTATATCTGGAAATCGTGCCTAGGAACGTCATATATTAACGACTTGACAATTATGGTTACTGACCTTGATCGCCGCATTGCTAATGAAATGGCAGGCTTTGAATGACGTTCCTATAGCGTCATGCGTGACTGGGTGAACCTGAAACAGTCTCCCCGAAATAGTCTGCACATCCTAGCGCGGGTGTAGCTCAGAAACTGGAAGGGCTTAGGTCTTAGATGGGCAGGGCTGTGAACTGCACCGAATAATCTTCAAGATGGCCATTTCAGCTCAAAACCACATGCAAATGCGGGACACTCCCTTTAGCCCTGTTTTGAAATACATAGTACAGACATTTGTACAGTGTGTTACTGATTATCACGGGAATGAGGCTGGGAAATTGAATAGCACCGTAATCAAGGATGTAAATGTGAATAAAAAGCGTGCCATCACGGACAAAATATACAAGGACATGACGAGAAGTGGATAAAACAAGCGCAGCTGACGGTCGCAGGGAGTTTCACGCGCATAGATTAGCAAGGCACTTTGCAGCGAGTTGAAGTAATAGAAGCAACTCAGCCCGTCCACTGCCGTGACAATACTGACTCGGCCAGTCTGGCAGCGACCCTGAAGTCACACACATGTTTCATGACGCAATCGAACGATGGCGTATTGAGCAACATTATTATAAATGTGAACCATTTCCTTCATGCGATAGCTTTCAAGACTTGAATTGTAGGTTCATACGGCATGTTGCATTTGGGCTTCTTCGAGTCACAGAAGCCAAGACACAGAGATCCGAAATATAGTGGGCAATGAGCTCATCGTACATACCAGCCCACCGTGCCCCGTTTAGGTACAAATGTCACAGGTGCACGTGCGGTACATGTGGCCGTCTTT